GAAACATGAAAAAACTGAAATAAAACACCATTACCGCGATTTAAATGATGACATACTGTTTTCAAAATGGCCGACATATGGTCTACATGTGGCTCATTTTAAACTGATTTTGAATAATTATATATATATTGTTTCCTTGTGTCATACAGCAAAATACCTAAATGTTACAGCTTATGACAATTTTTGTACCATAAGTTTTATGTGTTGTTTTCCTTCTTGTTTCAAAGCGTTAAGTACCGTGAACTAAGAGGATCACAGTATATATAAGTAGTGCGCACTAGTTACCAAGTAGTGCGCATGAGATAATTAAGTCGTGCGCACTACATTACAAGCCAATCAGTTTGCCATGAGCAATATTCCTACCAATTTAATCTCGAGTTATTGACAATGATTTTACATTATGTGTCTCTGTGGCCTTGACCTTTTAGCTTATGACATCATAATCTATAGGGATTTTCTCCCGGCCACTTAGGGACTAAGGGCAATGTCCTGATCAAGTAACAACATGCTTGACTCGTTCATTCTCAAGTTATTGATTGAAAAGAATTTGAAATATAGCATCATTGTGACTCTGATCTTCGACCCAATGATCATTCTCAAGATTAGATGCCATCTACACATCAGATGCAATGTAATTACTAGGTGATATAAATCATGACTTATTCCTTCTCAAATTATTTGTCAGACAAGGCTTTTACATGAAGTGCAATGGTTACCTTGACCTTTACCTTATGACCTCAAACATAAATAGAGGTCATTACTGGCTATGGGCAATGCCCCTACCAAAAGAAATGAACCAGGGCTTATTCCTTGTGAAGTTATCGTAAAGGCAAAGATAACATGCCGTTAGTACATTAATATATGATATTGGTTAATATGATCCAAAAGATATGTATCAAGTTTCTAGTGAATATCTTCAGTAGTTTCAAAGATTAATGTTGCATGTAAATCTTTAACCAGGATTTTTAAAAAATCATTTACATGTATATAGTGTTATCTGATTGGTTTATTTTATTGTGCGCATGACTTAAATATCTCGTTTGCACCACAAAGTAACTCGTGCAAACAACTTAATTATCACGTTCGCACGAATTAGTAACTTGTGCGCACGACATAGTATCTCGTACGCATCACTTATCATCACTGGTGAACGACTCAGTTAATCGTGCGAACGACATAGTATCTCGTGCGCATGACTTAATTATCTCGTTCGCACCATAAAGTAACTCGTGCGCACAACTTAATTACATCGTGCGAACGACTAAGTAACTTGTGGGCCCGACATAGTATCTAGTACATCTCGTGCGGACGACTTGTTAAATCGTGCGAACGACATAATATCAAGTATGCACCATTTAATAATCTCGTGCGCACGACTTAATAACTCGTGCGCACGACATAACATCTCTTGCATACAACTTTATTGTCTCGTGCGCACGACTAAGTAACTCGTGCGATCGACTTAGTATTTCTTGCGCACACGACTTAATTATTTCGTGCGCACGAGTTACTAAATCGTGTGCACTAGATTTTTTAAAACACACACACATATCACTTTTGTGCCACCGTTGATAGCATTGTTAATATGTGTGGCTTAAAACAAACTGATATAAGATTGCAAAGTCAAAACGCAAAGTCAAAACTCATTTCGAAACGAGTTAGTACCCCACATTACGTCTCTTTTAACTAAATGTACACAAATTAATTCATTAGCACGTTTCAATTGTTCTACACCATGTTATTTGTTTAAACAGACTAAACTAAACTTAGATTTTAAAAGCCAGAAAAGTGCACGTACACATATACACAAAGTTATAGAAGCTTAGAAGGACAAAGGTGGACATTTACGACTTCCATACAAAACAAAATCGAAGAGAGGGTGATCCCTCGGCAATCTCATAAAAAATCATATCCTAACTGTCGTTCCACAGCCTTTCGATTCGTAGCGAAGACTGATGATCTGATTTTAATGAGATTGATCCCTCGGAAGCATTAATCACAACCAAACTACATAATAATTACAGACTCGGTTTGACTGATTCTTTACATTAGGGATAATGAAAAAGTGCAATATTTCTCAAGCCCCCAGTACCCGCTTGAGTGGTGCTCAATTTCCAACCAGAATCAATGATATGGATGAACCAGAAAATAATATAACAACACTGAAGTGAAGTACGAGGCAACTTTTTACACAGCACTTAACACCTGCTGTTGTGATGTATAAAAATCTAGAGGTGGTGATCCCTTGAAAATCATTATTGACATGTACTTGTTATCCAAAAATCTTACATCTTTATTGAGTTGAATTATCAACATCACTTTTTCTACTCCAATTTCATGGGCTTACAAAATTTATAAAATAGGGGGGAAAAGATTTTGACATGCAGATTATTTTGCAGAATTTCATGATAATTCTAAATCTTAGCGAAACAATAAAATGTTTTTTCATTCTTTACAGCAATATATAGAGAAATAAGGAATCCCTAAAGAAAGCCCAACAACACAAAAATGAAAATGTTGCAGGCTCGGTTTGATTGATCCTGTTTATGGACGGTAACATCTTTGTAATGCCGTGCAAACATTGTTTGAACAAACACTCAAGTAAATTTTTGAATTAGCGAAGATTTATCAAGTGCCTGTTTCTCCTGAAGAAGATGGTTCAAGAGGCAGTGCAGTATCATAAAGGCGAGGCTCTAAGATTTCCAACGAACCTTATACCGCAGTATACATAGGCATCTGAGTAAAGGTGTTGAACCCGGACCATATTAATTTACAAAAAAATGTATCATTAAAAGTAATGGCTGAAATTGCTCGAGACCTTAAAAATGAAAAGGCAAAGACAATGTAACAAGAGCTTTTTCATTGATACATGTATCAGGTCGCGATGTGCTTTACTTCTTTCCTGGATAAAGTCCGATAAAAGTATGAAAGAAAGATGCTCCCTCGGATGTATTTATCGCAACAAGATGACATGAAAATAAGAGACTCGATTCCATTGAGTCTGTTATCATGTCACTATTTTAAAAAGCAATACAGATCACAAAAAGCACTGTACAGATCGATATGTCGTTGTATTCGAAAGTCAATCTGCAGAAGTCAATTCTGATCATTGTGACCAAAATGTCAATTCACTCTGTTTTATTGTTTGTTTGTTCGTTTGTTTTGTTTTGTTTTTTTTTCTGTCAATAAAAACATTTTTGTTTAAGCAAAATACCAAAAGCTCTTTAAACTCTAATCGGGATATCGATTGTATAAATACCGCTTTTCATTTTAATTCTGTGAATATTTCTCTATCTTTTTCATATTTATTTGTCGTTAGCGGTCCCAGCTGATCTATGCGATATTAAAAAAATGTTTTTTTAGGCTTCTAGATTTAAAGGAACTTCACTGAGGTTCAAAGGATAAAAGATAAAATTTGAAGATCTCACAAATATCAATAGAAACATTTTTCAATTCTGCAAAGGACAACAAGGATATATACTTAAATAAAAATGGAAAATCGAATTTTGTGCGTTTCTTGGGATTTAAGTAATAACAATAATAGTATCTTTATTTCCTCCAAAAGAAGAGCACAATTGATTACGGTGGCACAAAGGTGACATGTGTGTGTTTCTATTTATCTCGAGATAGCTAAGTCGTGGCCACGAGATACTATGTCGTGGCCACGAGTTACTAAGTCGTGGCCACGAGATAGCTAAGTCGTGGCCACAAGTTACTAAGTCGTGGCCACGAGTTAATATGTCGTGGCCACGAGTTACTAAGTCGTGGCCACGAGATAGCTAAGTCGTTGCCACTAGTTACTATGTCGTGGCCACGAGTTACTTAGTGGTGGCCACGCGATAGCTAAGTCGTGGCCACGACATACTATGTCGTGGCCACCAGTTACTAAGTCGTGGCCACGAGATAAATAACCAATCAGATTACACCATTTATGTGAATTTCCCTAATTAGCTAGACATGTGCTATAGTACAAGCATGCCCCTTCTTCACCAGCCTGTAAAAGTGCCATTTATACAACTTATTGATTTGTCAATAATTTTACATTTAGCGTCACTGTGACCCTGATTTTTGACCCAATGACCTCGAAATTATTAGATGCAATGATCTTTCTGGGTTACAGTAACCATGGCTTATCCTTTCTAAATTATTCATCAGACAAGGATTTTATCTTATAGGCTATTTACTGTCCATGGGCAATGTCCCTTACAAATATAATAAACCAGGACTTATTCCTTCTCATGTTATCGTATAAACAAGTTTAACAGGCCGTAGTACATACAAACTGACCAATTCGATCACAAACTTGCCCAACACAGAGCTATAGTCACAATTAATGTCTGATGTGCCTTGGAAGGTGACTTTCTAATATGATCTTAATGACAAGTTCAAAGTGAATACCTTCAGTATTTTCAAAGAATAATGTTGCATGTAAAAGTAAGTTGTTAAGTTTAAAAAATTCATAACATATATAGTGTATTCTGATTGGTTAATTATCTCGCGGCCAGGACGTAGCTATCTCGTTCCCACGACATAGTATCTCGTGGCCACGACTTAGCTATCTCGTAGCCACGACATAGTATCTCGTGGCCACGACTTAGCTATCTCGTGGCCACGACATAGTAACTCGTGGCCACGACTTAGCTATCTCGTGGCAACGACTTAGTAACTCGCGGCCACGACATAGTAACTCGTGGCCACGAGGTAGCTATCTCGTGGCCACGACTTAGTAACTCGTGGCCACGACATAGTATTTCGTGGCCACGAGATAAATAAAAAACACACATGTCACCTTTGTGCCACCGTAATTGATACACAATCTTGGAAAAATATTTCCAGTTCCATCATGGCAAAAAACCACAGTTGAGTCCCTTTAGGATTAGCTCCCTTAGAGTAGTAGTGCCGCAACTTGCTGAAGTCAGTCTACAGAAATCAATCAAAATAATTTGTTGAAAATTAGCATTCGGGCACATGTTTTCCCTTCAGATGTAATAACACAAGCAAACCTACGAAACATTTTTATTCAAAAAAGCAAAGGTAACAGTGTAAAAAATATTATCAAAATAATTTCCAACAATATTTGAAGCAAAGTTATCACATATATAGCGATTATAAAATGTAAAAAATATGAATGCGACATATGAATGTAATGAGAATCTTTTTACAGAGGTATAAATATATTGTAACATTTAATATACCTACAATTTTATTGGGCAAAAGGACGGAATCACATTTGTATCATGAGGTCACGTGACAAGTCTTTATAAAAAATGTGTCTTTATAATTTAAGATTTTTAATAATGGTTTTAATATTGTATACATTTCTCGTCAATTCATGTGAGAAGATTGTTGTTCAAACAGTCACAAAGAATATTTTGATATTTGGACATTTTGAATTGTGTCCGTCATTATATCTTAAAAGAACATTATTCTTCAAACAGTTACAATGAATTTATTTTTAGAAAAATTATGAGCATTTTATTGGGTCACATGATGTAGATTATTTGTTAGTATCTTTCAGTTCCGTTTCTGGTATGTGTTCTTTAAACCTGTTAATATTTGTAGAAACACGGTCGCAATTTGTAATAACCGTTATGTCAGTAACAATTTAGGTAAATATCTATTTCCAACTCTTGATCACTAAAATGTCATGTAAAATCTTCATTATGTTAATTATTTGTTCAGCGATTATCATATTATACTATTCAAACATTTATCCATACGACGGACAACTAGTTGTTACTTTATATCAGACAATAACTAAATAACTCTTCTATCTTCTCCTTATTTTGGCACCAAATGTGAACACTAGATGGCGTTTCTCTTAAGTCGCCCAATCAGCAGCTACCTTAGCAACAGTGAACTTTTTATCTGGCTTAGCAACCCTGCTTTTAGCTATGACCACTGGAACTTTTGGTTTGTCGGTGTCCGGGTCAGTTTCGCTGTTCAGAACTTGTCGTAACACCCACATTCCACGGATAACCTTACCAAAAACCACGTGCTTATCGTTCAACCAGTAAGTGTTACGTGCAGTGATGAAAAACTGGCAGGTATTCGTGTTTTCTCCTGTAGGATATAAAAAATAAACTTTTATTTTTTCATCAATAAATAAAGTTAACTTGACAATTCTTTTAAGCATCTGATCCCAAAGCAGTCACAATTTTTATGTATTTCTTAAGCATAAAGTAGTCATAATTAAAAAAAAACAAGTATCAGCGATTGAGTTTTTTAATCATTAATTATTTTAGTATCATTGTGTTTTACCGGAAAATAAGTATGGAAGTTTTTTTGTTTTTTTGTTGTTGTTTTTTTAATATGCGTTACATCATCCATGGGCCCATATAAAAATAGTCAACTGCAATGACGGCCTCGGTAGTTTCATTATGAAAACATATCAATACTAGCACATGAAAAAAAGGCATGACGAAAAAAGGTTTCTTTTTTACAAAAACAAATAACAAATAGTGGTATAAACTTATCATGCGCATACTTTTATGAAAGAATAGCGCAAATGCACCTGTTTGCATACATTAACATAAATTATGAAGAATCCCACGAACTTATTAAATCCCCTTACCTTGCGTACTCGGGCTTAAATACGTTCACATGCTTCTGCATATGTGAATACACGGAAAAAGTGCATTACCCCTAGTGTCATATAACAAAGTACGATAGAAGTATTAGCATGTATTTAGAAGTGTAAGCATAATATGATTTAGATCATCATCATTAGAAATGTTAAAATGTGAAATTCAAATATAAATCTATTATAATTTTTCATAAACAGTAGATGTTACAAATCTTGAATACTTGGTTGAATATTCAAAGATTCAAACATGTATATTAAATGTAGTCAATGTCATACCTGCGTTCGCCATGCTGAGCCATCCTGGGCCATAATGTTGTAGCGCAAATGTTTCATCAGCAAATCTTCCGCCATATATACTTGTCTCCCCTGATCCGTTACCAAACTTCACATCTCCTCCTAAAATAAAGATACCACCTTATTTATATCAAATAATTTAACAATTTTTAATAACAAGAAATACAATCTTAGCGACTTCCTGTCAGATAATAAACACTCTTTATCCCTTTATTGGAAATTTAGTTTAGGAATTCTTTAAAATAAATTGAACTGAGCGGTTTTAATTACAAAGTTTCATAAGATCGCAGATTTTTTATGTAATTTAGGGAAACATTTATATTAGTTTCACTAAGATAATATGTACACAGTGTATATGTAGTCACAACGGAAAGTTATATTATATGATTGTATTTCTGTAAAATATCAAACTATAATGCGTCCTATTTAATATTACATAAAACACACCCGCTCCCGGGATTTTGGGGCGGGGAGGGGGAATCACGCCGCCACGCAAGGGAGCTTTATATTATAAATTATATAATTAGAATCATAACTATTATGTGTGTCAGTCATACATTGATGTACATGTAGTGATTTGTTTACTTATTTGCAAAAATGTACTTTATATGTATAACTCTTCAAAATTGGAGGAAATAAAGAAATATATTTGACTTTAACTCTTCAGAACTGGAGGAAATAAAGAAATATATTTACCTTGAATCATGAAGTCATCAATCACTCTGTGGAACGGGCTACCCTCGTATTTAAACTCTCCCTCTCCGGAGGCGAAATGTATGAAGTTCTTCACAGTGAGTGGCGCTGTGTCTCCAAACAAACCAAGATCTATCGTACCAACGTCCTCGCCCCCTATGGTGATGTCAAACGACACGACGTCTGTGACAGTGGCGTCTTCCGCCTAAAAATATGAACAAATAAGCCGCGTCATGGCAAAACCAACATAATAGGTTTGCGACCAGCATGGATCCAGACCAGCCTGCGCAGCCGCGCAGTCTGATCAGGATCCATGCTGTTCGCTTACAAACCCTCTAACAAGTAGAGAAACTGATAGCGAACAGCATGGATCATGAGGGGTGGTTAAATTTCTGCGTAACTTATTTCTGCGGTGTCATCATTCTCGCATTGAATTGTTTTATTTCTGCGTATATCTGGTATTTGCATTTTGTAAAGAGACGATATTCAAAGTTTTTTTTGTTTTTTTTTTTCAATAAATACTGGATTTATTTTCATCGACTGGTATGAAAATAGATATTACAAAAGTGCGGTAAATCATTTTCATACCTCAAATAAAAAAAAATCTTGAATATTTTCTGTTTAATTATATACTTTGTTCTCTTTTTTTACATTACAATTTGAAAGATTTTTCCTAAAATTTTGTGTTTTGACTGAAGTCAGGCAAGACACCAGTGAAAATACGGAAAATATGTGACACTGCAGTGAAAAATTTATATTTACAGTGGAAATACGGAAAATGAAAATACACACTTTATTACATCAATATTTCTCAATATTTCCTTAATAAGTATATTCATAAAATAAATCCATTTAAGATATTTAGCGTGCTTTTGGTTAGCGTTTGTCTCTGAAGAACATTTTATTCATTCACAAAAAAAATATGAGCTGTAACGAAAACAGATTAATTTTTTACATCGCATATCATTTTCCTTGACATTTACTAGAGTGGGTTTTAATGAGTTATTGATACAGACACAATCATAGTAATCATTTACAAAAAAAAAAAAAAGAATTGAAGAAATATACTTTGGGAAAAAAAACTATTCAAGCATTTCAACGTATATATATTTTTTCATACTTTGTCAATAAATAATGTTATATAGAATATTAACCCCCAAAATGGCTTCCGCTTTTAGCATGGGAGGTAAATATTGTAAAATTCTGGAACTATCTTCATATACACAAACTTACTTCCCTTTAATCGGACGTGGCATCTTTCGACAAATTTTATCAAATTTTGAGGAAAAAAGCTTGTCTAATTAATACCAACTTTGTCCGACATAAAAACACATACTTTGTATATAAAGTGTCGAATAATTTAGCGTTTATCTGATCTAATGCGTTTTAACCTGGAAAGTTTTCCAAGGCTACGTCATTGCCATCACATCTTTTATAAAATATAAGTAAGAAAAAAAAAACATTATAAAAATAAGTTAATACATGTTTAGATACTGTTATAGATAATGATAAAACGTTACTTACATTTAAGCGATTAAACATCAAAACGAAGGATCCAAAATACACAATGCTGTAAACAAAATCCATGACTCTTTTCTTTGCTGATTCTGCTTGTAATGCCACGTTACACGTCTATCTGGCTGGGCATATCAGGTTTCCGTATCGTGGGGCGTATAACAAGTTCTTTGTGTACGATTAAAACATGTGTTTGTTTACCACTAGGCCGTCACTCAAGTAGATGTTTATCAAGATAACAAAATATCAAGTTACGCCATTTATGGTGTAAACTACTGTACAAAGTGGTTGATAAACTGTTTTGTCTATTTATAGATTTAGGTTAAATATATTTCACTAACTTATTTTACATATAACTTATAATATACAACCCTATAAATAGATTTTTATATATTTAAATGTAAATTTATCTACCCAAGCAATACGAAAAATGAAAATGAAACTTTTAACTTTTCAATTTATAGTATACATTTGTATTATGGTAATTCTAGATACCTGTATATATGTAAGTTGTTTTCGAAATTTGTAATGCAAGCGTTTTATTTCCCTAGTTCATATCTTAAAGGCACGTTAGGCCTCAGAAACAAATAAATTTTCCACTCTTTAGAAATGAAAAAACAATAAGTTTTATAACAACTAAATAATAGTTTTAAGCAAGCTACATGGTTATAATTTGAAAAAGAAGCGCTGAGTGTGACTTAATTTGTCAAAAAGTAGCAAATTGTAATCGAAGTAGAATATATTTTACCTCCATACAGAATACTAAATCACTATAAATGTACTTATTGTCATAAAGCAATTGAAGGCAAAAGAAAGTTAAGGTATTCGTCTAAATAGTATCTCTTTTTGGAAACTATAACAATTAAGACAGCAAAAAAAAGCTTTTGAAAAAAGGGAATAAAAGCATTTTTGGGACATGATGAGTCTTTAAATGATGCCTAATGTAATGTGGTATTGATGAAATATTTTTTAACAATTACATCAAATGTACAATAGTGCGCATGTTTGATAATATTACATATTGATATAATAAAATATTTGACCAAAATACGGGTTAAGAAAATAAAATAAATGATTGTTTTTCAAATTTACCATTTTATTTTCATTTTATAAAAAAAAATGAAAAAAATGAAAAAAATGAAATAAATAAATGAATATATCAATAAATGAATAAATCAATAAATCAAAATATATAAAAAAAGATTCATAATAACTCTATTGTAACATTTCAACTTCGTGATAATTCTACACACTTCGGTTTAATCAATTTAAAAATAGCTTGCATAAGATTAATAATATATTCTCCCAGCCGCAGTTTTAAAAGTACACGCATATTTTGCAAAATTAGCAGACGATAATTTACTTCTTAACTTTCGGAACGCCCCTTTCCGGAAGTACTTGTAACGCATGCCAGATGCCAACCTGTATACGCATAATGTTTGAAGTACTATTAACCGATCTTATCTTCTTGAAAATACTTATCATATAAGAATTAGTCAAAGGGCAGCGCATTTTTGTCACTTCAGCTTAAAATAGTAGGAAATGTTGTTAGATAAATAAGCCTTTATATAATGAATGTATCTATTAAAGTATTAAAGTGGTTAGGGTCTAAAAATACCTCAAATAAGTTGGATGAGTTCTGAAACACGCGGCTACTGACACGTTGTATATATTATATAGTTTACATGTAAGTTTTTAACCGCAGTCTGTAAAGAATCTTACATTTGTAAATGTAAGCCCCGGCGTATTAATTTATACAGGGATTATTCTTTTAAGCCGAGCCAGTTAATTAATATCACATCATCTCTTTCTGTAAATCATATCATCATAAAGGAACTCATGCATAAGTTGCATGATTCAAGAGATGGTTGAACTTTATTCTACGGTACTATATGTACATGTATATGAATGCAATTTTCTTTTCTTCACAAAAAAGTGAATATACGGATAACATATGCAACATAATTATATTGTTGTAATCCTTAATAAAACTTCATTGCTTTTGTTTTCAACCTAATCCGAAGTTTGACGGAAATGGTCGAGTGTTGCTTCTAAAACTCGTATATATTCGGTTATCTTCGTAATTTCCGTGATATGTACTTTTGTTCATATCGCGATATATGCCGAATTATCACGATGCTATGATTTAAATTATTGACACATCTTTAAAGAAATGTAAAGTGTTTAATGACATAGTGTGACTTGTATTTTGTCATGTATGTTTGTTTTTATGCAGTGGTATGTGATACAGAACTATTGTAATTGTATTAAAATTAGTGGTAAAAATATTCTTTAAATTTACGATATCGGCACTGATCTTTTCAAAGAACGATAAAAATGAAAAACGACAACGCGCAAAGGGAACATTCTTGATATTTACTCACTCACTCACTCACTCACTCACTCACTCACTCACTCACTCACTCACTCACTCACTCACTCACTCACTCACTCACTCACCACTCACTCACTCACTCACTCACTCACTCACCAACTCAACAACTCACTCACTCACTCACTGATATTCTTGTGTCTTTCATGAGTAAAATAAGTACATTTAAAAATATAGTGAAATTCATCACCTATTTCTTGCTGGTTACAGAGTGATGAGGTTCTATTTTCTCTTTCAGTACCAACATAGCGACGAAATTTACAAAGAGTTCTAGATTACTTGGTAAACATAGTAAATAATGTTCTAATTTGAATTGAGTTTTATATATTATATGATTTTAACACATAGCAGATTTAAAAACTGATCACGTAATCGTGATTGTATTACATGAAAGGTGTATATATTTTTTATGTGCATGCTCATATATTTGTGAAATGACAATGACAGTTCATACATATATTTTTATCATTTTATTTTAATTAGGTAGGAACGGTAAAGGCCATATGGGAATGTTGCGGCTATGCTTGTGGACACTTTATTGTCAGTAGATTATTTCAAGAACGAGCGGGTTTTTAAATAGAAGCCATGAATATCCGTCCTTGAGAAAAAACAGCTTGAGCCAGAGGCCACCTGTGAAAAAAAACCTTAAAACTAAAGGCAGCAGATTTTGCAGTCGCAACTTTTACTAAAGTATGATTATAAACATTTAAGTATAATTGATTTTGTTTTGAAAGAAACAGGCACATAATTATATATGATAAAATGTCATCAAAGTTTCGTATTGTATTGCACAACAATTATATAATATGTTGAACAATACTGGATTTACACATATTGATTCAGAGCTTTTTTCAAACCGTTTAAACCTTAAATATCCTGTTTTGATGGAAGAGATATGGTATTTTATGAAGCATTGGTGATATTTATTATCGATAGATCTATATTTATAAAAAATGAAGGCTTAAATATAACGAACCCTAATTTTTAACATAAATCGGTAAATATCGACATGTCGGACTATATCGTACTTACCATGACTCTTGTACCTATTTTAGTATATTTCTGTGACGTGGGTGTTTCCCAATGTGACGTCAATATTGGGACAATACCATATGGTGGCTTGGGTAGCCGAGGGGCTTAAGTTCATGTTGTAAGCTCGGATGTCATGCTGAGAGACAGCTTATCTGGCTATATTATCAACGGTAGGTGGTGCGCTTTCCAGATGTCAACTCCGTGTCAGATGGCCATACAGCGTAAGTCTATCTATAAAGGCAATCGGACCATCTCGGCTGTTTATATTTATCATAGCCTCAGATTTAATACCGATTAATTGAAAGTAGTTCTATCACGTGGTTTTATATGTTATTAAAAACAGAGTGTGTAATCATTGAAATTTGATAATGTATAGCGAATGTACACATTTGAGATCCAAAGGAAAAAAGAAGTCCATTTCGGTAAAATTATGATCGCAAATATGTCTGACAACCATAAACAATTTAAAATTTCCCACTGATATTCTATCATTGAACCAAAAACGGATTAATGATTCTGTATTTTCAGCTAATAATTCATGATCAGTATATAAATAATGTATTGTTTACTTTTAAATCAATAAATTACTTTATTTAGGCGGGCTTTTACTCGATAAATTTAAATAAATTTTGTAAACAACTCCCAGTATAAAATAATTATTTGTTTACATGTTTAGTTTCTTAGAGAGTAGGATAGACCGAAATACAATAATCGTTCTGTGTGTTCTGTGTTCGAGGTCCTTTTCCGAAGTTTAACGGAAAGGGCCGTGAAGATGAGATGTAAGCTGTCTTGCTGTCAGTGCGACCAGAGACAGAGTTATCTACATCCCTTGTGCGACCAAAATTAAATGAATCACATACTATATATTTTCAAGGCCTTGGTTTCCTAGTATTTTAAATTTTCAGGCTCTAATGTGTAGCGACAACAGAAATGCTTCATTTAATCTAGCAATATTTGTTAAAGCAATAATGCTGAAATTTCACTAAGTCATCTTCCTTAGTTTACTTATTTACTCCTATGCCATGTTTGTATTATTATTTTTTGTTTTGTTTGATTGTTCACTCTTAAATTATGGCCATGAGTCTTTGTTTATAAATAAAAAAATAAATAAAGAAAGAAAAAGTATGGATCAAACCATAACCTCTAATATATGAGGTAATCACTCAACCGACTGTGCTATTGCGGATATGACCAGAACGTAAACATTCAGATAGTGTTACTTTTCAAAACATTAGTCATGTTCTCCAAATTAATTCTCGTAATCTATACGGACAGAACCGAAGTGGTATCGAATATTTAGATGAGTGCTATATTGTTTCATAATTGACAGGTCAATAAAATCATACTTTAATATTAAACTAAAACATCTATTTACGCCCGGTTGTTTCTGTATTGAATTTTGTCTTCTCACCGTTAAACATCATTTAGCATATACTTTTTAATGAAATATTGAGAAATATTGATGAAATAAAATGCGGATTTTCATTTTCCGTATTTCGACCGTATTTTCACTGCAGTGTTTAACTTTTTTCTCCTAATTTTCACTGGTGTCTTGCTGGACTTTTTTCTTTTAAAGACAGCCAATACACAAAATGTTATGGGCAGTCTTTCAAATTGTAATGTCAGGAATGAGAAAAATGTATATAATAAACAGAGAATTCAAGTTTTTTCTATAAATACAGGATTTATTTTCTTGTGGTATGAAAATTATCATATTTCACTCATTAAATATGTGGTTTCATACCACTCGATGAAAGTTAATCCTGTGTTTA